AGTGCAGTGAATTTATGAGAGCGGGTAAAATGTTTTGTTTACGAAAGTACTAAAAGTGATTACCTTGGTCATCCACGTCCAGGAGCTTTGCAGACTTGAACACGTAGCTAAATACGGGAGACAAGAACTGTCATTTGAGCATACCTTACGTTTGTTCTCATGTTATTATCGGATCGGATTCGGGGAAAACCTTTTTGGCCCAGCTGGATTCTTCTTGACATCCAGAACTGTATCACCAGGGCATAGCGGTCAGAAAGCATAGGACTTTTCTCTGTTTTCGAAGCTACATTTCTCCATTAAAATTTATTTCCATACTCTTATATTAGTTGTAGCATTCACTCTATTCTCATTAGTGTCGCTTTAATTTTTTACTTTTCTCCATTAGTGTGCTGGAAGAAGAATGGTTTTTGTTTCTCTCATCCCTTGAAATAGTACATTATACCGTATATTCAGGGCTTGAATTCAGTCGGAGTCCGGCTAAGCTATTGCTTAATTTCTGAATGATATCGGAAGTCCAGCAAGAGTTTCAAATAAGATGAGCCTAGTATTTTATTTCTTTTATTTAACTATTTATCATAAATTTAATGATTTATTAATTATTTATTTATTTCTTTATATTTTATTGAATTTTAATTTAACTATTTTAATGATTAGTCATTTGATTATTTTATTAGTTATTTATTTATTTTGGCCCCCTTCCTGACGACCTTAGAGGGCTCTGGCACTTCAGATATTAAGCCCTGTGCACACACACACACACATATATATATTTGCGTTTTTGAACGGGTTCGTGGATTTGGAGTGATTGACGATAACACTTGATGAAGAATCAGACACAATTTATTTAGCCAGTATTATTCAGGACAGCTCCAAAAGCACGTTTACAGTCGACGAAAAAACACGACAAGCACGCTGAAAATATCAGCGACACAGTCTTCAGGTTATCAGGCTATAAAGATGGAGGCAGCTTCACTGCAAAGCACCACAGTACAGCTCCCGACTCTGTTCAGTTTTTCTCGGAACTCTATGTACTCTATGTACTCTATGTACTCTCGAGACTCTCCACTCTACAACTCGCGATGCACTCGACGATAAGCACTAGACTGCAGCTTCCGACTCAGTTTGGTCGTTCACGAAGCTCAACACACTCAAGATAACACCCGACAAGGCACTAACTCGCGATCAACTCGATAGACTACGAGACACTTTCACTCACTCTCGTTCGCTGACTCCGCGTGCAAACAGGGTTTATATAGCTTTTGGGCTGCCTCCGAGAACATTCTGGTCCAAACCGGTAAGAATTCGTTCTAGAAGGTTCTCCATCCGCCTTTGGCATATCGCCAATTTTGTCTCCAAATGTCGCCTTTTGGCGATTTCTCGCCAAATATGACAACTCTGCCTTCCCTTGCCATTTTCTGGCAACCCTAAACCGCTTTGCTAGGAAGCTATCTTACCGCAGCTGGACATTTCATAACAATATATAGAGATATAGATATAGATATGTGTGTATGTAAGATTTAAAAAAATACGTAAATCAGCTTTATAATTTAATTAAAATTATCTACTTAATTCCTCATTTTTAATATAGGTATTCCCCCTCTCTATTCTCAAAGCAGTAATAACTTCGCTAATTTCCAGATTAATCTATGCCACTGAGCCTGGGTAAAGCTGTTGGCGTAGGTTATTCAGAACTTGAACTCAAAATTTTGAGAACTAAAACTTTTCTGACCTAAACTAAAACCTTCCTCTTGTTGAATTTCCATTCTGTAAATGCGCACTTCGCTTCTACCTTGTGGGCTGCTTGGACGTCGTTTCCCTACGCTCTCTTCCTATTGCAGTGGTATCAAAATGCAAATATTCTGGAAATGGGCACAACTGGAGAGCCAAGTAAATTATGACCACACATGTCAATTGAAAAAAAAAAAAAATCTGATGTGTACACCACATGACTTTCTTGTACGGAATATTAAATTATACGCATTTTTCTTGCATTTCATTTAAACTTATTGGATTGGATTAAATCTACTTCGCCGACAGCGCATAAACCACAATAGAATAAATGCAGTCTTTAAAATTCACTCTAGTATTTGTTTACCATAGCGATACTCTGGCGCTAAATTCACTTAACAGTATTATATTTCGTTCATATTATAACTCATAATGCACAAAATTTATATCATTTGAAGAATAGAATTATCTAATCGTTGCCACATGTTCTATTCAAATACTATAATAAAGCTAGAATGATGTATAATAGAAATTAGGCAAATAAAACAAAAAAGAAATATTTTTTCACAGACAATTGAGTATTTCTCATTCAATTAATTCAGTTCTCACTTCGCGAGAAGGCAAAAATACATAAAACCTCAAAATATCTATATTAAAAATTACGAAGTAAATCTTAAACACTTATTTCCTCGAAAAAATTCCAGAAAGGATTAAGCATGATTTAATTGGCAATAATAAATGAAGGCGTTATCTTTGTTGTTGCGAAGCTACGTTTCTATAGATTGGCAGCAAATCCACTAGTCTGCTGTTTCAAATGTAAACAATCAATGGTCGCCATAAAAAAACAGGCTTAGCGGCACTTAAACAACTTTAAAATTAATTCAGAAGTAAACAACAAAAATCAGCGTTATATTTTCAAAATTTTCACAGGATTAGTTTCGATGGTTTTACCGAACCACCATTCTCAGCTGCAAAACCGCAAATGAACAAGATAGGAAATAATGATTAGATAAGATAAGAAAGCCTGTACAAGAATAAGCAAGTGGCGCCATCTGTTGGTGAAACCAGAACTAAAACATAATTTGTTTAAAGGCCAAAGGCAAAGATGGATTGGAATTAGGATCGTTAACTAGAACAGAAAGATTTTTTTGAATGTGAAATGCCTCTAGAAAATCCAGTTCTCCAATGGAAGATGTTTTTTGAATAATTTTGGCAGCAGAAAAATTGAAAGTGTGATTTTCGGACCAACAATGTTGAGCAACAGAAGACTTCTGTGTCTCCTTTTTTTCTAACATATGCCTCATGAGGCAAACATCTTCCATTGGAGAACTGGATTTTCTAGAGGCATTTCACATTCAAAAAAATCTTTCTGTTCTAGTTAACGATCCTAATTCCAATCCATCTTTGCCTTTGGCCTTTAAACAAATTATGTTTTAGTTCTGGTTTCACCAACAGATGGCGCCACTTGCTTATTCTTGTAAGGCTTTCTTATCTTATCTAATCATTATTTCCTATCTTGTTCATTTGCGGTTTTGCAGCTGAGGATGGTGGTTCGGTAAAACCTTCGAAACTTGTCCTGTGAAAATTTTGAAAATATAACGCTGATTTTTGCTGTTTGACTTCTGAATCAGTATTTATTCGGCGTGCTATTGTGTCTTAATTAAACTTTAAAATTGTTGATAATTCTAAAAATATTGCATACAGATTTACTAAAGGCATGAAAACCTTAACCGGAAGATAAAAACAACATAATTAAATCATTTTTAAAGCAAAAAATGTACAATTTACAAACATATAAGAGTAAAGAAACTGAGATCACTGAGCCGGGTAACAGAGTGAATATATATATAAATATACTTATATACGTTTGGTGCGGCCGATTGCAACCAAAATACGAGGTGCACATCTACATGTTATAGCAGTCCTATATACAAAATTTCAACGTTCTGAGGCTACTCGTTTTTGAGTTATGCGAGATACGACGAAGACGCCACGAAAAATTCTCTTCAGAATTAATTTTAAAGCAGTTTTATAATTTTTTTGGAGGAAACGAGTCTTTTATTCTGTCCTTACGTACAGATATCACGCGAAAACATCGTTAAATTGCATTCGATAGCGGGCAAAATGGATATTTTCGTTGAAATATGCTGCCTGAAACTTTTCGCGATTACAATACTTCCTTTTTACTTCGTACAAGGAAGTAAAAATGAAGATTTAATCTGCCTCGACTGTCAAGTTTCTTATTCATTGTGGATCGGTATTTCGGCATTCTACGCAATCACAATTTTTCCTCTTCATTATGGATCAAACAACATTGCTACTACGTCTTTTTCTATTCTCTTTTTATCATTTAGTCGACAGGATGTGCGAGTGAAAAAATTCCTCAATGGAAAACTTATTCGACTGCCTCTTATATATTTAAAAGGGGGGAAAATATCATAGTTCTGCTGTGGTATTTTTACAAGTGCTTCGGGGAAAAAAAAAAAAAAAAAAAAAATCACGCTTAGTGTTTGCGGAGTGAAAGTAATCTTCCGATAAATCCAAAATTTCGAATGTCTAGTGAGAAATCGGAATACTGATTTTGCTTCGGCCATCTCTACAGCATTTAGAAGGAAAAAAGAAGTATTTTAAATCATCGGTGAAAAAATGCTTAGTAGATTCAGCATTATATCTGGTTCAATGTCGCCGATCTGTGTTTAATGTGGTTCAAGCGTGCGCGACAGAAAATTATTATTTACTCTTCCGGCTTTACCTAATAGCATTTCGTCAGTCAAAAACTCAGAACCGTTTATCTTCCTGTGAACTGAACTCATGTTTATTTCCCAGGGAGATAAAATTATTAAAAATGCTGCGGACTCTACTCTGCATTTAAATTTTACTTAAAGTTTCTGCAATTTGTTCGTGCTGTTTGGCAAAAATATGAAATTATTGTTTAAAAGATTTAAACTTTTCATATTTATGTGTGATAGAATTACGTAACGAATTTTAAGGTTTTTTTTTTACTATTTTTAGGGAAGGTTGTTAGGTAACTAATTATATTTTTGAATTTATGCTGGAAATTTAAATTGTTGATAAAAATTTTGTGTCAATGAAATCATTTTGAAAAATTAGTATAGAATATGATAAACATATAGTATTTTGAGTCTTACTATGGTAAATTTTCAGTGTTTTGATACAGAATAGTGTAATAACGTATAAAATATGAGTAATTCAAGAGATTTAATAATTATCATAAGAAGAATGGAATTATGATAATTAATTTAAAATTTATGGATTATTATATGTTCAGATAAACTTTGAAGGCTCCCACTTTTATTTATTTCCTGTATAATAATAATTATTTGTTTTAATATTATGATGTAGTGTGGTTAATTTTTTTACGGAATGTTATAGCGCAGTTCCGAAAGACCAATTGCTTTTAAACAAGGAACTGAGGCTTTTATAAGTGACTGCCGCGAGCGTCCATTTAACCATTGGTGAAAATTCGTACACTAAATTCGTTAATGTGGATTTGCACATAAGATTGAAATGTTTGTATTAAGAAAATGCTGTGGGGGGTCTTCCAGTTTGTACAAAATAAGTAAATTATAAATGTCGATAATAATAGAAAGCATAATTTTCAGCAATATTATTTCACTTGATGTTTCGAATGAAAATTAATTACATTATAATATTTTGAAACTTATTGTGGTTTTGTAACGTAATTAATAGATGCATTTAAATCTTTTATATTTGAAAAGTTTTAAAAAGACCTTCTCTAAACGGATGTAATTATTAAGTCTATCTAGTTTTATATTTTAAATTCACAAATATATATGGTCCATATTATTAATGTAAGGCAATGCAGAATGTTATTATTTGTCTTTAATTTTTGCATATTTTATATATCAGTTAACAAATACAAAAAATTTTATGGCCATACGTTATAAATGCAAACTTTGATAAATATACAATGCTAGAAAACAGTTACCTTTATTAAGGAACGGAGTTTATGTTCTATAGTATTCAAGCATCTCACAGCCATCAGCAAGTTGTAGCGCTGACTTGCTCATTTTCCAAGTTTATTTTATTATCGTACTGAATTTTGTTACTTTTCTATGTTTATTAAGTTCTAAATTCCATTTTACATTGCTTTACTATTAAGAAAAATGTAGATTATTTTATAAATGCTAAATAATTAATTTTAATACAAATTTCATGGATATGCAAAAGAACATTTCAGTTTTATATTTACAACAACAATTTTTACGAAGATTTTCAAGCTAAGGCTTGCAAAATTCTATGATTATGATTTTCAACCAAAGATTTTATGATCTGTGAACTTTTATAGTTATTGCTTGAACAAATCAGGCCTTTCCTTACAGAGTTTTCACAAAAAAAAAAAAAAAAAGTAACTTGAAGATTTTTAACATAATTTTCAATTTGCATTTATTGTTAAAAATGGTATTTACAAGATTTTGTTATTTTAGAAAAATATACAGATCAAAGTTCTATGATTTATTTTCACGACTGTATCTCCCTTGCTTCGCTAATGCTTTAATGTTTTCTTCTAAAAAAGTTTTTCTGTCACCAAACCTTTTTCTCTTTGAAGGGGGGGGGGGTAAATCAGCTTTATTATTTACTTTAGTATAGCTTCTTAATTCCTCCTTTTTATTTGGGTATTTCCTCTCTGTATTCTCAAGATAGTAATAACTTCTCCGACTGCACCATTTTTAGATTAATCTAACTTCCATATTAGATAAATGCGTACTTTGCTTTTACTTTGTGTTCTGCTTGGACGCTGTTTCGCTACACTCTCTTTCTATCCCAATGGAATCTAAAATGTAAATATTCTGGAAATGGGCACTACTGGAGTGCCAAGTAAATTGTGGCAACAAATGTCAATTGAAATAAAAACAAAGATTCAATCTGCCTCGTCTGCCAAGTTTCTTATTCATTGTGGATCGGTATTTCGGTCTTCTACGCAGTCAGAATTTTTCTTTTTCAATATGGATCTACGTTCTACGCCAAACAACATTGCTACTACGTCTTTTTCTGTTCTTTTTTGTCACACACACACACACATATATGTGTGTGAACTCAGAAGTAATGACAAGCAGGAATTTTGATGGCATAGAAGTGTTGATCCATAATGAATAGGAAATTGGAGGCGAAGGACATGTAAATCATCATTTTTTTTATTTCAGCAAACATGTTGCGGCCACAACCAAGTTGGCTGATTAAATATGCCTATTTCAAAAACTATACAATTTAGATAAATTTGCAGTAAGAAAGAACGAGCAGGCAGGCTGCAGTTAAGCTAGGAGAAAGCGTAGAAAGCAAGCGCGTTATGCTGAGGGTGAAATCTTAATTTGGACTGAGTTAGTTTTGGTTCTCAATGCATTTTGTTTGGATAGTTAATACGTCTGTAAAATTATTATTGGCTTTTTTAGTTCCATTTACATCAGCAGAATCATGTAAGAGTCATATGACATAGTCTCGAAATGACGAAGTGCGAATACAAGTTACTATTTTTAGAATACAGAAGGGAAATTAATTTACGCTGCTAATTTAATCTTTTACGTATTCTTTGTTTTTCTTGCGCATATTTAATGGACTAGAGAGATTGATAGCGTAGACAGAATTATGAAACTTGCGGAGAAATAGGACTGTAGATTCAGCACATATTGCTACCAAATAAAACAATTCTAGAGACGCATATTCTGATTCACATATCATCATAGGCGCGATCTACAACCCCACATTTTTGAAAGTTTATATCTTAAGACAATATATGATACAAAGAAGTGAGCCGCGATGTGTTAGTTGAAAGCAAGCAAGCGGGGAAGTGCGACCCATTCAGATGAAACGCCTGGGAGAATGTTAAATGGTTTTTGGTCCTCAAAACGTTTTGATTTCAATCGAACTCTTATTCGCTGATTGGTTGAAACGTATCCACATTGCAGCATTATGCAAAATCGTATGATAAGGATTAATTTTTATCGTATGATATGGACGGAGTTAGTTTGAGGAAGCTTCATCTTGTATAAATGTTACACTATGGAGTACTTGTCTCTCTTGTAAGACGAACGTTATACTGTCTTTTAAAAGCTCTGCAAAATGTTCGGATGTGACAGAAAGAGTTCGAATTAATTTTTTTCGCATAGAAAAGGGGAAATACCCAAATTAAAATATAGAATAAGAGAAGCTATTGCCAATTAAAACCAGAACTTTGCTTTACTTATTTTTATCTATTTATCTGCCTCTTTCTCTGTAATGAACAGCAGAAATTTTGATGGCGTAGAAATGTTGATCCATAATGAATAGGATCTATAATGAAACTGGCAGCCGAGGCAGATTAAATCCTTTCATTTTAGTAAACACTTTGCAGCCACAAACAAGTTGGCACATTATTTTTGCCTATTTCAAGAGGTTTACATTTTTGATAATTTTGCCGTAAGAAGGAAGCAGCAGCTAGTAGACCAGTTTAAGCCGAAGAGTAGCGAGCAAGCGTGTTATGTTAGAGGTGAAATCTTAATTCAGATTTAATTTTGGTTCTCAATGCATTTTGGTTGGATAATTAATGCTGCTATAAAATTATTATTGGCTTTTTGAGTTTTAGTTCCCTTTACATCATCAGAATTACGTAAGAATCATATGATATGGATTAGTCTCGAAATGACTCAGTGCAAATAGAGGCTACTATTATTAGAACACAGAGGAAGAATTAATTTACGTTGCTAATTTAAATTATAATTTATCTTTTACATATTTTATTATTTTTCTTACACGCACACACACGTACGGGGTAGTTCAAAACTATATGTCTGAAATGTAAAGGGTAGAGGAGACCTAAATACGCAGATTTCGTATAAGAATGTGTGAGCGATAATGCCGCATTGAGCCGGTAGAGAACGTTGATGAGTGCGGCGTATAAAACGCTGAGCTAGTTGGATTCTTTATTTCCTGCATGGATTTCGAGCAGCATCGCTACACCAATGCGGAGTTGCTAACATGCATTTCAGGTATGGGGCTGCACGAGGAAATGGATTAGCTGCTCACAGGATGTACAGGGAACGATTCCCGGATATGAATCAGCCGGATAGTAGAACATTCGAGCGTCTTCATTGGGAGTCAAGTACGAGTGGATAACTTTATACGTCCAGACGTGATAATGGCATTGGAAGACATAGCAGATCACCTGCAGTGGAAGAAAGAATACTAAACACAGTAGGGGATAATCCTTCATCAAGCTCGAGAGCTGTAGGACGTGCAGGGGTGAGCCACGCACCTGTTTTGAGAACTTTACGTGAAGATGAAATGCATCGGTATCATTTACAGAGAGTGCAAGCAATGACCCCTGACGATTATCTTCCACGTCTCAAATTTGCCCCTTGATGCCTACAGCAGACTGCAGGCAATTAAATTTTCCCTGCAGATGCTTTATTCACTGACGAGGCTACCTTTACGCAATCGGGTATGTTTAACATTCATAATTCTCCCTCGTGGGCTAATGATAACACACGCCTACCTAGAAAGGTTTTCCATTAATGTTTGGCCAGGCATTGTGCACAATAACTTAGTTGGACCGCACATTATACCTAGTTGTCTAACTGGCCACACGTACAGCATCTTCCTACAAGAAGCCTTACCTGAACCTTTGGTCAATGTTCCTCCAGCTGTTCGAAGACGAATGTGGTTCCAGCACGATGGAGCCCCAGCTCACTTCAGCCGGAATGTCAGGAATCACCTGGATGCTGTCTACGGCCAACATTGGATAGGATGGTGTGGACCAGCTCCCTGGTCACCGCGTTCTCCTCATTTTAACCTGCTTGGCTTTCTTCTTTTAGGGACATGTTAAAAGCCTCGTGTAAGAGAGTCTTGTCACCTCTGCAAAAAATTTTTCTGCCCTCTTGTCTTTTGCTGCTGGACATGCACTCCACTCGACATGCCTGACGTCTTTTCTAATCTACGCCGATCCATGCGCCGCCACTGTGAATCTTGTATCGCTATTGGTGGCCGCTCTTTCGAGTACCCCCTATTGTA